TGAGCGAGATTAGAATGGCTCTCCAGCACCTTAAAAACGGCAAGGCCCCAGGCGAGGATGGAATTACAACGGAGCTTCTGAAAGCGGGTGGAAAACCGGTACTTGAAGTCCTTCAGAAGCTCTTCAATTCCGTCCTCCATGGTGGCATTACACCGGAGGCGTGGAGCAGAAGTGCGGTGGTCTTGTTCTTCAAGAAAGGCGACAACGCTCTCTTGAAGAACTACAGACCGATTTCCCTTCTGAGCCGCGTCTACGTGCTGTTTTCGAGAGTCATTACGAATCGTCTCGCGCGCATACTTGACGACTTCCAGCCTCCCGAACAAGCCGGTTTCCGAAAAGGCTTTAGCACCATAGACCACATACATACCCTTCGGCAAATTGTACAGAAGTCCGAGGAGTACAATTTGCCACTATGTCTGGCGTATGTGGACTATGAGAAAGCCTTTGATTCCGTCGAAATTTGGGCGGTGCTGCAGTCCCTTCAGCGATGCCAAGTTGACTGTCGGTATATCGAAGTGTTGAAGTGCTTGTACAGTAGGGCTACGATGGCTATCCGAGTACAGAACCAGAGTACGAAACCTATCCAATTGCAGAGAGGTGTAAGACAGGGTGACGTCATATCCCCGAAACTCTTTACCGCTGCATTGGAAGATGTTTTCAAGCTTCTGGACTGGAAAGGATACGGTATCAACATCAATGGCGAGTACATCACTCACCTTCGATTTGCCGACGATATAGTCCTTATGGCAGAATCGCTGGAGGACCTAAGCACTATGCTCAATGACCTCAATAGTGTTTCCCAACGGATAGGTCTTAAGATGAACATGGACAAAACAAAGATCATATTTAATGTCCATGTCACACCTATGCCGGTAGTTGTTGGGAACACTAAGCTCGAAGTTGTTGACGAGTATGTTTACCTGGGACAAATAGTCCGACTAGGTAAGTCCAACTTCGACCGAGAGGTCAATCGACGGATTCAACTCGGTTGGGCAGCGTTCGGGAAATTACGGCACATCTTCTCGTCAGGTATACCTCAAAACTTGAAAACGAGACTGTACACCCAGTGCGTGTTGCCAGTGATGACATACGGAACTGAGACGTGGTCCTTCACTGCTGGCCGGATGAGGAAGCTCAAGGTCGCTCAGCGAGCTATGGAGAGGGCTATGCTCGGAGTTTCTCTGCGTGATAAACTCAGAAATGAGGATATCCGCAGTAGAACTAGAGTGACCGACATAGCCCAACGGATTAGTAAGCTGAAGTGGCAATGGGCCGGTCATATAGCTCGAAGAACCGACAACCGATGGGGAAGAAAGGTTCTCGAGTGGCAGCCTCGTACCGGCAGGCGAAGTGTAGGGCGTCCCCCCACTAGATGGAGTGACGACCTGGTAAGATATGCAGGAAGTCGATGGATGCAGGTGGCTCAGGACCGTGCTTTGTGGCATTCTTTGGGGGAGGTCTATGTTCAGCAGTGGACTTGTGAAGGGCTGTAATGATGATGATGATGTAATAATTACCGTCTATACAGAATATAATTTTTAAGTGAACACTAATAGTATAAAGTTATAGTTTTTAGAGTATAATTAACCCATGTCCTGTTTTGAGTTAAAAAATAAATGGTCAGTTTAGTTTTTTTTTTTTAGTTAAATTTAGTTTTAAAAATTTTTAGTTTATAGGGGTATTTGTGTTGTAATTAAATGATGCCCGGGTAGGTATTAGTACTTACTTAGTAAAAGTAGGTAACTATTTAGATAAGTACCTTTTATCTAATCATACCTACATAGGTACCTATTGTGATTAGTTATACTGGGTAGGTATATTAATACCCACTTAGATACTTTTTACCGAATTAGGGTGGATGCCCCTTATACCAGTCATGCCCCTAATTCCAGTCTTTTGGCCTTTTTACTCCATAAATAAGATTTCTAGTATTCTTAACTACAAATACTGTCATCTAAAAAATTATTTGTACCTAGAGGAAAGTATATTTATTCAAATATTACCTCGTAGTTTTAAACCTAACAGTGTTAAATTAAAAATCAAAACACGTACGCAACGAAAAACGGTCATTATCCTAATTATTTCACAAGTTATCTTATATATAGGCTTTTTGATTTGTATGAATATGACTATAGACATAGTAATGCAGTTATTTTTGTTCGAATTTACAAGTTATTTATTTTCTTTTAGTGGAAATTAATGGGGCTGTAATTAGATATAAGAAATGTATGGAGTGCATAATGTCATAATGTTATTTGGTTTGACGTACCTAATAAGAAGTACCTAATTTCAGCCACGTAATATAAATCAGGGCTGCCGTAAACTGGAATAAATACAATTAATTAGATCATAACTTGTTTTATAGCTAAGGGAGTTATGATCAATTCGTCTGTTTTAAAATTGGTTTTAGATTTTAAAGTTTAGCAAAAGATGTACTAGCTTTTCTCTCTGACATTCGGCGTATATTAAGAACACCTTATGTACTCAATTATTTTTTGAAAAAGAAGAAAAAAAAACGAGCAATAAATAATATAATCTATTTTTGTAAAATACTATAACTTAGTAATACTAATTATAACTTAGAACATTAATGAAAAACTCATAACTGACTTTTTAGCCCGACCCGGGATTTGAACCCGGGACCTCATGAACAGTAGTCGCACTACTACAACCACTGGACCAACGAGGCAGTACTATACCTACTAAGATATTGTGGTTGGGTATTAGGATTATTTTTAACTGTATACTATACTGATAATATTAAATTAGCCTTTTATAGTGTAAATTATAATATTTGTCGAAATGTTAATTATGTAGTCGAACCTTACATGCTAATGGTGCTTCATTTTTTTATTTACATTTACTTCAAAGAAAATACACGCAAAAAGCTTCATCGCGCAGTAAAAAACACAACAAATATATGTATAACTAATACGAAAAATTATACCCAAAACAAACAAATAATACTACCTATAAATAACCTAATAAGTAATAATAATATTATAGATTGATAAGATGACGTCAGCGAGCATGTGCGCTGGCTGACGTCGTGACAAACGACACGGGTTTCACCTTCAAGAGGTTAATGCTCACTGACTCCAGCAAGCCCGTGGGCAGTGAATATCTTACTGATATTCCGATCTTAACTACTAAGTCACTGAATTCTTCTCCTGCAGTTGCCGAAACATTACTTAAACAAAATGTAAATGCATGTACAAATAATTTTACATATCATAAAATATCGTTAAAAGATATTGTAAAATATTTTAAAACTATTGATACTATGAAAACTGCAGATTTGCGGGGGATTTCAACTGATTCTTGAGTGTTGAGCTGATTAAAGATATCTTCAGTGCATGGGTATATTCTATGACCAATACAAAGCCTTCGATTGTGTTCATCACGATACACTAATCAGGGAACTTCAACACTACGGTGTAAGAAGTGATGCTCGTAAATTACTTATTTCATATTTAAGAAACAGAACGCAAAAAGTTGTCATTAATAGTATGAACTCTCCCAGGTCGATTTTACAAAGGGGCAAGCCTCAGGGTTCAATTCTCGGTCCATTTGTGTTTCTTGTATATATCAATGACTTACGTTACATAGTAAGGAATAACCATGATATAGTATTATTTGCTGATGACACTTTATTAATTTTCAAATTAAAACGACAATTACTAAAATATGACGTAGTAAATAATGCAATATATAAATTAGCAAATTGGTTTAATGTTAATAATTTGCATTTAAATGGCACTGAAACGAAATGTATGAAAGTCATGACTACAAATGTCAACTAAATTAATTTTAAGTTGGGAGGAAGTGGGTCTTGTCGATACCACTATTTTTTTTGGAATCACATTAGATGCAAAGGTTCAATGAAGCCCCCATATATCAAAATTTGCAAGCAGACTTCGTTCTGCAGCATATGCCGTAAAAAGATTAAAAATCTTACCAGTGTTGAAACACTTGTTTACTTTAGCCGTTTCCATAGCATAATGTTGTATGGTATTTTGCTATGAGGACAAGCGACTGACACTGAAATAAAAAAATTAAGGAAAGTAATATATTAACTTTGGCATCGCAATATATTTATAAAAATGTAATGTTTGTACATAAAAATATAAATGGCTTTAATAAGAATAAGGATGTTCATACTTTAATCACTAGGAACAAACATAAACTTGTAATGCCAGTTACTAGACTACACAGAATCAGTAATTCATTTATAGGGCAATGTATACCCTTTTACAACAAAATCCCAGAACATGTTCAAAGTTTGTCAATAATTAAGTTTAAAATTTTATTAAATAAAAATTGTACAAACAGGGTTATTATAATATCAAGGAATACATGAATGAAAATAACCCCTGGGAATAAGGTGATCGCCACCATGCTGGTTCTATGAAAAATCATTTAAAAATTGTATAAACAAAATTATTGTTAAGTGAAATATGTTTAAAAAAAGTCAAGCTGGGTTTCTTGCTGGTTCTTCCCAGGACAGAGGTATTTTCCGAACCAGTGGCAAATAAAATAATGACTTTCAATAAGTATTATGTAATAATCCATATTGAATAAAAATCATTCCATTCTATTCTTATTTTATTCTATTGTAAGCTGTTTTTTTTTCTTAAAAGTCCCGCTGGGTTTTTTTACTGGTTCTTTCCAGCACAGAGGTTTTTTTTCCGAAGCAGTGGTGATTAAACATAAGAGTGACTTTCAATAAGTATTATTTGTAATGTACATTGAATAAAGAAGTTTCTGTTTCTGTTTCTAATATAGCTGCGGCGTGGTTTTACTAAGCCAAAATGTTTATTTACTAAGTTAAGTTTCTATATATCCATTATATTGTAGTATACTAAAAGATTTTAACTTGCATGAATTCCAAATTACCGCAATAAGTCATGTTCGCTTCTTATGAATAATGGATAATAATTTTAGTTCGGGAAGATTATATTACAGCGTACTGACGTTTCTTATTATAAAACTGTACATAGCTCTTACTTCTTGACTATATTAATTAACCGAATTCCAAAATCGAAATTGTACTATATTTGACGCGAAAGTTTTCTACCGACTTCAAAAAGGAGGAGGTACTCAATTCGACTGTGTTTTTTTTTTGTTTTTTCTTTTGTGTATATTCGATGATTTGAAAGCTGGTGTTTCTCATATGTTCCCATATAAAACAAGATCTGACCAGTAGTTTTTGAGTTACCCTTGATAATGCGTATCCAATTGACTTCGACTTCATTGATGATATTTTAATTTTATTTAAATTGAATACGGTTTTACGAACATTTTTATTTTATCAATTGCCTGTCTAGAAGTTTGTCTGTGTAGGTGCCTCCATGTTATCTATTGATTAAGGTCTGACCAATAGTATATGAATTATTATTAATAATATATATTGAAGTCGGACGGTCGGTGTACAAAATTTTAATTTTAAATTATTTATGATTTTTTTTTATAGAAGAATGGTCACAAACTAGCACATAGACCACCGAATTGTAAGTGGGAGCTGTGGTCCATAGACATCTACATCTACCCTCGATTACGAATCAAAATGCAGATGCGTTGTCACCCGTGAGGACTAAGATTGAATGTCTCGTTTTCAGTAAAAAGGATCTCCGATTCTCTACATCCTCTATTGAGCAGTTATCTAATTTGTGCTTTACCTATTTAAATGATTCTTTTTATTAAAAAAAATATACTTCACGGCTCGGTTCCAAATACATTATTGGCAATAACATCCCCAAGGGTGGAAAAAGATAATTTTAATGTCATTTATTTAAGCAACGTTGTCATTTGAAGTAAAAATATTAAATCGGTTTAAGTTTCAAATATATAAACTTTAAAAAGTACAGGCTGAATTAAAAATTAAATAATATAATAATTTTACAAAACAACTTCTGCAGCTTGGCTTAGAATATTTGATATATGCTATGTAAGATACTCACCGGCTTCAGAAGCTATTATCTGAAAATTATTTTTACTTAGTTTTGTTTTGTTGGGTTGTATTTCACAATAAAAGTTTAATTATTTATTTTTTAAGTTCCATTTGATACGTGGTAGAACCATGCTGCAGCTGTAATAATTAAATAGTTGTAGTACGAATGCGTTGGCTCGACCGGGTAAGGAGGACCACTCTCTCACAGAATACTAGCCTAAAATAGAAGCTAATTCTGTTGTGTTTCGTATGGTGAGTGTAGAGAACCGGAGATCTTTTTTAGGGTTCCGTTACCAAAGGGTTACCAAAGGGACCCTATTACTAAGCCTCCGCCGTCCGTTCGTCTGTCTGTCAGTGGGATGCATCTCACGATCCGTAATAGGTAGACAGTTGAAATTTTCACAGAATGTGTACTTATGTTGTCGCTGTAACTGTAAAAAATAATAAAAATAAATTAAAAACTAAAGGGGGCTCTCCTACTAGAAACGTGTTTTACGATGGTACGGAACCCGTAATGCGCGAGTCCGACTCGTACTTGGTCGGTTATTACTGGAGACGAGGTGTTCAATCTTAGTGCTCAGGGGTGACAACGCATCTGTATTTCAATTGGTCGTCGAGGATAGATGTAGAAGTGTTGAAACAGCTAGACTAGTTTACTTTAGCTATTTTCATAGCATAATGTCGTATGGTATTTTGCTATGGGGACACGCAGCTGACACTGAAATTATATTTGTTTTACAGAAGAGGGCCATAAGAGCAATTTATGATTATAGGCCTAAAGAGTCACTGCGACAAAAATTTAAGAAAATTAATATATTAACTTTGGCTTTTCAATACATTTATGAAAATAAAACGTACGTACAGAAAAATAAAAGTCGTTTTATTAAAATAAGTGATATTCATTCTGTAAATACTAGGAACAGACACAAGCTAGTAGTACCAGTTACTCGACTCCATCGAGTCAGTAATTCATTCTTGGGACGATGTATACGCTTTTACAACAAAATTCCAGAAAATATACAAAGTTTGACCTGCACAAAGTTCAAAAACTTTATTAAACTAAGTTTGTATAAAAAGGGTTATTATAATATTAAAGAATTTATGAATGATAATAACCCCTGGTAATGAAGTGATCGCTACCAAGCTATTTCTAATTCGTTGTGTTGTTAATTGTGTAACATACACACAGATTGTAAGCTGTTATTTAAAAAAAATATCCCGCTGGATTTCTTGCTGGTTCCTCCCGGGCCAGAGGTCTTTTTTCGAACCAGTGGTAATCATACAAAAGAGTGACTTTCAATAAGTATTATTTATAATCTCTATTGAATAAAAAAGTTTTTGTTTCTGTTCTATTTCTATTGCTAAGCCTACGCTGTCCGTGCGCCCGTTCGTCCGTTTGTCCGTCCGTCCATCCATTTGTCTGTCAGCGGGCTGTACCTCTAGATCCGTAAAAGGTAGACAGTTGAAGATAATCTACCAGTAACACATGACCCACTGAGTGGTGAAATTTTCAAATCGTACTGTTGAACCCGGGTTCTTTACCCTAAGGGTATTCAACGGTACCCTATAACTAATCCTCCACTGCCCGTCCGTCTGTCTGTCAGCTGGTTGAAGATAATCTACCAGGAGCACATGACCCACAGAGAGGTGAAATTTTCAAATCATACTGCTGAACCCGGGTTCTTTACCCTAAGGGTATTCAACGGTACCCTATAACTAAGCCTCCACCGCCCGTCCGTCTGTCTGTCAGCTGGCTCTATCTCATGATCCGTAATAGGCAGACAGTTGAAGATAATCTACCAGGAGCACATGACCCACAGAGAGGTGAAATTTTCAAATCATACTGTTGAACCCGGGTTTTGTACCCAAAGAGTAACCAACGCGTCCCACTAAGCCTCTGCCATCCGTTCGTCCGTCTGTCAGCAGGCTGTATCTCATAATTCGTAATATGTAGACAGTTGAAATTTTCACAGAATGTGTATTTCTGTTGCCGCTATAACAACAAATATTAATAATTAAAATAAATTAAATACGGAACCGTTTATGCGCGAGTTCGGTTATCTGTTGTTTGTAAATGTAATTAAGATAGACCTCCCTAACTATTCGAGAATATTGTTTGTGGTTCGCCACGTCAGATGCTGCTAGCAACCCCTTTTCGCTACGTTTGACAGCATCTATAATAGCAATATTTTGGAAAATCTATTTATTACTATTTTAGGAGAACTTACAGCTAGTTATAAATGTATGAACAATAAAAAAATGTACTGAAGGCCAATTAAATGTTCCCACTTATAAATAAAGTATAGACAAAAATTGCACAAGTAACGTAGACGTAGATTTAATTACACAATAAAAGATGATTTAAGATGTAAAGTGAAATAAATAACAATGCATGGTGTATGTAATACATATCAGTAAACGAAAAACTTTTTACTTAGTAGATGCTTAAGCTGCCTGCTAGAGGTGTTAAATAAGTCTACATTTTGTATTTTTGCCACGTCATTGAAACACTTGCTCACTCTTATTAAATAAGAATTTTGCCTGTAGTTTGTATTTACTCCCGGCACGTATAGTTTGCATGGCTTGCGTTAAGATAAGTATGGAACTTGTAAACGTATTTGCTCCAACAGTTCGGGGCAGTCGATCGTGCTGTTTGCTATATTAATTAAAAAAGATAGATCCGCTATGCGCCTTCTCTCATATAGCGGCAAAATGTGAAACTTTCGGCAACGTGTTGTGTAATCCGGTAGAAAGATCTTAACTCTAAATTGAAGATAGCGAAGAAATTTTTTCTGAATCCGTTCAATACGCGTAGAATAAATATTATAAGTAGGATTTCATACTTGAGAGGCATACTCTAGATGACTTCGTACGAAAGCACAGTAAAGAATATTGAAGGTTTTAATAGAATTGAAATCAGAAGACATTCTTAAAATAAAGCCAAGCGCTTTAGAGGCTTTGTTTATAATATTATCAATATGTTTATTAAACACTATGTTTCATTTCATAGTCATAGTTTCATAGTCTAATCTGTTGTATAGACAGTAATTTTCAAACCTATCCAAGTCTTCTTGCAAATGATATGCACTTTCGAGGGACATTATAGGACTTAATATTTTCATATCATCGGCGTAAAGTAGGATTTTTGAGTACTTGAAACATGTGATGATATCATTAACAAAAATATAAAAGAGTAAAGGCCCTAACAAGGAGCCCTGTGGGACACCAGATAGTATTGGCATGGCCTTAGAGGTGTAACCATTTAGGGCAACTGTCTGACTCCGATTTTGAACGTAAGAGGTGAACCACCGATATAAATTACCTCGTATCCCTACTGATTGAATTTTGTGTAATAGTAGCAAATGATCTATTCGATCAAAGCATTTGCTATAGCCTGTGTAGACCACATCGACTTGTGAGGGCTCTGACATATGTTCTGATAAGTAGTCACTACATAATATAAGATTAGTAGTTGTTGACCGACCCTTGACGAAACCGTGTTGTTGAAAGCTAAGTGTATGTTTTAGGGCAGCATATAGTTGATCATAGACAATTCTTTCTAGTACTTTTGCAAATAGACATAATTTGGAAATATAAAATAATAAATATATAGTCGGTAGTTGTCAACTTGATCTTTTGGTCCTTTTTTGTAAATTGGTGTGACATAAGCCGATTTCCAGATTCTTGGCATTAAGCCTTCTGATAAAGAACGCCGATATAATATAGTCAAAGGAAACGCAATGCTCTTGGCGCATCTCACGATAAAAACAGCAGGTATGTTGTCAGGCCCAGCTGATTTACTTCAGTCAAGTGATTTCAAAAGCTTAAATACTCAATCAAATGTGACCTCTATATCCCCTATATCAGATGGTATATTATGGTTCATTTGAGAGGTAGTATTTAAAAAAGCTGACTGAAAATAATCACTAAACAAATTGCAAATTTCTGCGCCACAATCTGACGATTTATTTCCAAAACGTAATACAGCGGGATATGAATTGTCTTTGTTTCTTGTTTTTATGTAAGACCAAAACGCTTTAGGATTATTAGAAATATTTCTTTTCTACGTTTGAAATGTATGTATCAAACATTTGTTTTTCTAGAGTCTTGG